CCCCCCCCCCCCCCCCCCCCCCCCCCCCGAAAACTACAAGAGCCGAAGCAGTACCACCCAACTATGTTGAAATCAATTGGGTGAAGATGATTTTGACCGTTAAAAATAATATCTTCTAGAGTGAAGATATTAAAGGGTTTACAAAAAACCAAGGTCTTCTAAAGTAAAAAAAATAGAAAATAAAGTTTCTTTCACTGAGAACATTGAAATAAAGCAATTTAAAAAAGTATTCTGAAAAGTTCGACCGGAACGAAAGAGAAATATTAGCGTCCATAATAGCGATAGTATCGAAAAAAAAAAAATTTATCCGATCTTACGTACTAAAAGTGTCGTAAATTTTACAAATTAACATATTAAACTATTAAGGTTCATTTGACATGTCTTTGGCTTTTACTTCATATAAAAGAGCTTTTGAAAGAAATTATTTTAATTTTATTTGGAAATTGATTTTTAAAAAAGTTTTCTATTCCGAAGGTGTTTTGAGAGGAAGTCACATTGAACCGACTTCTTTTGAAAACATTTTTAATTAGAAGAAATACTTTCATAAACTTAGTTAAACAGATTCAATACCAATTTTTCATCTGAAAAATTCCTTCGAACTTTTCAGAAGTGATGTCAAACGAGTCCTAAAGATAGTTTAACCTAACGTTTGAAGGTGAGAGGACATTTGAAGATAGGGTAACCTCGTTCCCTAATATTTCTCAATTTTATTATATATTTTTTGTCAATTTATTGTGGCCGGCACAAATTCAATTCAATGGTTGTTGCTACGTGAATGGAAAGGCGAGTATCATTTTCGTGATTAAGACTTTAGTATTCCAGTGGTTAATGCTGCGTTGTCGAGTGTCTACATGTTATTTAGTACGTTATTAATAAAAAAATCACCGGAATTAATTATTAGTTTAGTATTTTATTACACTTATAATTAAAGAATAATTTGTTATACTAAGACATATTAAGACTGTTTTATTGTTAATACGTAAAAATTTGATGAGAGAATGTCAATATAATCTTGCTATAAGTACAGAAAAATTATAAAGAATGAGTATAAGAATTTGAAATGGAGGGAATATATTCAAAATGGGAAGGTGGAAAACAATACACAGACGAACATGATGCTATCGTTCAAATTCCTGTTAAAAATCTATGAGTTATTCCCTGTGCTTGCAGCATTTTTCATGTCAATATGCATGTTTTAAAATTTAAACTTGGTAGTCGGCCATTGAGCCAACTCTAATACCTGTGCCGGTTTGTCAAATCTTTTGTTCTTGTAAAAGAGTTTTTCGAGAAATTATATTAGACCATTTTTCTCCAAAAGTTCTCTATTCCGGTAAATCAATTTCAAAAAGTTGTTCAAGTATGTTGGAAAACAATTTTTTAGCCTCATTAGTAGTTTGCGACTTTTCAAAAGTTTTGCTAAACGTATTTTGTATGGATGTATAAGATATACAATACTTAGTAAAAATAAACAATACAACGAAGTCATTTTTTTAATAATGTCTAATCAACATAGCTCATGTACTATATTTTCCTATTGGGCTTGGTAGTTTTAACATAGAATAGTGGCAAGATTAACCCCGTTTGACAGTTATTATTTTTGAAAAATAATGTTTTGAATAGTGATTTTTAGGAGAATGTGTGATTAAAAAATAGATAAAAGTTTTAAGTTTATGTAGAGAATATTTTATTTTGTAAATATGTTAAAATGAGAGTATAGAAAAAATTGAATAGTGATTTTTAGGATAATGCATGATTAAAAAATAGATAAAAGTTTTGAGTTTACGTAGAAAAATTATTTTATTTTGTAAATGTGTTAAAATGAAAGTACAAAAAAATTTTTTTTTTTTTTTTTATAACCGTGAATGTCCGAGTCAGTTTGTGCACACCTCGACTAATCCCACGGGAAGCTTAATGATTATTAACATTATTAGGGCCCAAAAACAGAGTTATATTAAAGAGACAGTCTATGTGACGTCAATGTGGCATTAAATGATAGGCGAAATTAAATAAGTCATTTAATTTCACATTTCATTTAATCTATCATTTAAAGTCACATAAACTGTGTTTTCATCCCCACTGAGAATGAATAACATATTTCCTATTGGGCTTGGTAGTTTTAACATAGAATAGTGGCAAGATTAACCCCGTTTGACAGTTATTATTTTTGAAAAATAATGTTTTGAATAGTGATTTTTAGGAGAATGTGTGATTAAAAAATAGATAAAAGTTTTAAGTTTATGTAGAGAATATTTTATTTTGTAAATATGTTAAAATGAGAGTATAGAAAAAATAATTTTTTTTTATAACCGTGGATATCCGAGCCAGTTTGTGCACACCTCGACTAATCCCACGAAAAGCTTAATGATTATTAACATTATTAGGGCCCAAAAACAGAGTTATATTAAAGCGTAAGGACCACTCAGCAATCAATGCTTCTTCTTTTTTTATTTTTTATTTTATTAAAACACAGAGTTATATTAAAGCGTAAGGACCACTCAGCAATCAATGCTTATTCTTTTTTTATTTTTTATTTTATTTTTGTCCCTTTAGTACTTAGGAAAAGTTACACCTAAAGTCCTCCACCTAACAGTAAATGAAGAATTAAGTGCCTATTCATTTTCTTTGACAAAATTGGTCTCAAATTTTTAATCATTTAGCACGTAGGTCCCAAATATATGGTTATCATTTGTGATCATAATTTTTGGTGGAAAAGACGACCAATGCTCCATTCAATTCAAACAAAAAGAATTGAAATTGAAAATTTTTAAAACTATGGCCTTGTTTGATTTAGTTAAAAATTAGATTTTTAGTAATTTTTTATAAAAATTGATCAAACTTGTAGTTGAAAAGTTAATAAAAGTTGTGAATTTTATAAAAGTGTGATTGGAAATGAATTTTGAAAAATGGAGGTCAAGCATAGATTATATCTTTTAGGGCATTATTTTGTGATTTCGTCATTTCCAATCATACATTTATTATGAATGTCATGGATCCAAGTATCCCAATTGGACATGAGATTGTTAGGAGGAAAACTGGACCACAAAGAAACGCATGAGAAAATATGATTGCAACAGGAAAAGATGGAAAAGTGGACTACTGTGGAGAGGAAGACAATTGGACTCAGACGAGAAGGGGTTTGTAAAGATATACACTGTACCGACTACGCGCGTGTTACCTTATGAGGAGCATTGGATCATGTCGAAAAAAAAATTGGACTGGAAGCATCTTTTTTGTGCAACTTCAGAAAGAATTGAACAATATCAAACAAGAAAATAAGGAGAAGCTAAGTTGCTGTTTGTCTAAGTCTTCTACGCGTGTGGTAAAAATACACTCAAACCTATTCTTGAGAACTCACTTGCTATATTAATTGAACAATGGGGACTATTTGCAGTAAAAACATTAATGAGGACTTAGGCGCAAATTTGCCAACAAGTTGAAACAGGTGAGTACGTATTTCTTTTCTTTATTATTATCCATATACGGCACACTCTTCTCTCTCGTTTGTCATTGCCATAAACGTAATCGAAACTGATCAATAAATCAGAATAAAGGAAAGCCAGTGGAGTCCGATACAGGAGAAAAGGCCAAACAGTACAGCAGTAAAACAAAAAACTTCGACACCTCCCTGAAATTCTGGCTAATCTTCGGCTTCATTGTCACCGGTAAACTTTAGATTCAAACTTCAATATCTTAACTCTTTTAACATAAACTTCTGTTTCTGAGAAAATAAACAGTTACAAAATATATCTATTTTTTATTTTTATTTTATTTTTTTACGATTTGTCCTTTTGGTACCCATCCGATTTCGTTTGGTGGAAGGTAAAGAAATGTTAGATCGACTCTGATTTTTTTTTCTTTAAATATATAGATTTTACAGATGAACCATATATATTTATTGTTTATAATCCAAATTCTGATTTCACGTATGTACCTTTTGTTTTTAGCTTATTTTGCTGAAACTTGCTAGGTTTTAGCTTCCAGTTTGGGTTGATTTAAAACTTTACCCGTTCGTTGGGTTGGAATTATCAGATATGCTCCGTTTAGCTTTTGTATAAGATTTCTTATTTTTTAGTTTTTTAAATATAGGGTGAGAGTAAAGAAATTAATTTAGATTCCGATTCCCTCGCGGTGTTTTGAGTGGAAATATTTAGGGGATCGTACTTTGTTTGATGCTTTAATTGAATCCAATTTGATAAGTTATAGTTTGTTCAGCCTTTGCTTTGATTGTAACTGCTTGATTTATTCGTTCTGCCACTTATTTTTTTCCCCTTTTACACGTAAATCTAGGCAATTCTAGCTTAGTGTAACTTGATTGGTTACTGACAATACCCTGAGTCTAGGGATGGGAACATGGCCGGAATACCCTGATCCCGTGGGGTCAGCCTGAAAGATGCGGGGATCACCCGATGATATTCGGGGCCGGGGACAAGATGGGGAACATGGTCCTGCCCCGATTAGTTTATATGTTTTATATTATATTTATAAAAATATAAATGCAAAATTTGTACCAATGAACTAAAAATTAAAAGACCGTAAATCCAATTAAGTGGTACACTCATGTAAAGCCGTTATTTATTTAATGATGAGTTCTTTTATGGACTTGTGTTAAACCACATTTACGTAAGAATCGATGTGGGATCTTTTCAATGCATTTTTAGTTAAAGTGTTTGGGCGGATTTCATTTTGTCACAAAAAGCTATTATTCATATTAGAGAATGAATGTCTACAAGTAATGTAGTTGTCTTATTCTTTTGGGACCCGTTTGGTATGATTTTTATTTTTGCTTTTGCTTCTTGTAGAAGAGCTTTTGGAGAAAGCTAGCTTAATTTTTGTTTGAAAACTAATTTTTAAAAGTACTTTATATTCGAGAAGTGCTTTTAGAGGAAACCACATTGGATCAACTTCTTCTAAAAGCTTTATTTACTACTGAAAGCACTTTCGTAAAATTAGCCAAACGGGCCCTTAGTATCTCAATTATTTAAGTATTTTTGAAAATTAAATAATTAAATTATATATTTAGATTTAACAATAATAATATTTATATATTATATAAAAAATAAAAGTTTTAAGAAAAGTTAAATGGTGATAAAAGGGACAGGCGGTTTCCCGCACTGCCCCTGTGGAAAACATGGGTGGTTGGGGAATGGGTCCCTGACCTGAGCCTGCCCTATTGCCATTCCTTCCTCTCCCCCTTGATCTCCTTTTTAGGTAGCTTCTGGATGGTTGAAACAGCTTGATGTATTCATTTAATTCTTTTTTCCAACATGGCTGCACGTGTGCACGGTTTTCATAAATGAGTGACGGCGAGACCTGAACCTAGGTCTTTTGCCTGCTATGATACCGTCTTATGGATCTATATACATATATTTAAATCTTGTCTTTGACATGGATGATTCTGAATTCAACCTTTCCGATTCTTTTCTCTCTTTTGGTCCTCTTTCCTTGGGAATGCAGGAGGGATTGTGAAAATTTTGCAAATGCAGATATTTTCTACCCCTAAGCTGAAACTCTTCCATTTATTTTACAACTTGTGAGGCTAAATCGAGCAAATTTTCTCATGTGCTTCTTGCTATATTTTCGTTCTCATTTAATTATTATTACAATATTAGTTAATGCAGTTCAACGTGCCATGCAGGGTACTGGGATGAATGGAGTCCACCAGAGTGGCAAGAATGGGAATTTTGAAAAAACATTTCCTGGATGCTTGGGAAGAATGGTGAACCTTTTTGACCTGAATGTAGGGATGGCAGGAAATAGGCTGCTTACTGATAAACCGCATCGAGATGGTGCTTGCTCTTTTCGATATTCCTTTGCTCCATGTCTTATATTATCATGCAGAAAATTAGAGTGAATTATAGTGTTGATGTTCTATACTGTAAGAATATCATCTAGTGTTGGTTGTGTGTTTTCACAATATGATTTACAATGTCAAATTAACTGTAATGAAATTGAGATGACATTGTTTGGTGATAGTTGTGCATTTACCTTTTGAAAACATATATTTGGAAATTATCTCATTGATTTCTTTGTTATCTAATACCCATCCCAGTTCTTTTTCGAAGAGGGTTCTGTAACAAAATGATGGCTGGTATGGATATCAATATACAGATATTATCAATGGTGGCCACATATAAATTTTGATATATGAACTTGTTTTCTACATCATAGTTTCCCTTCCTTTTCCTCCTCTTTCCCCTTCCAATTTTTTCTGAGGTCAGTCTTTTGACAGTTTCTGTCGTCTTAACTGTGCATTGCTGGACGATAATGTCAAGGGTGCAATATAACACCATAATAACTGCTACGCAGGTTTGCCTCTGCCAAGTAGCCGATCCCATGTAGCAAGGATGAGTCCATCTTCTGACCAAGTAGAGGACCAAGTGGTACATTTTCTATTTGATACCAAGTGAAAATGTACTTTATGGAACCATATTCTGCCAAATATTTTGCAGAATTTATTTCTGATACTGATTATGTATATTTTGTTGAGGCATCAGATGGAATCTGAGATGAGGAGAAATTGTTCAAGCAGGAAATCAAATGGCACACCCATGAAGGCGCTCATAGCCCTAGAGATGTCCAAGGAAGTGGAATCTAATCACAGTCCAACTAATGTGGTAGCTAAGTTGATGGGTCTGGATGCTCTTCCACAACAGCAACCTAATTCAGCTACACAAAGAAGCTATTACAGAGGTTACTCTCCAATTCATTCAGATATACCGATGGGTTGCTGGGAGCAACAGAATGAGTTCTTTCAATATGCAGAACCAAATGAATACAAAGATGTTTATGAAATACAACAACAATCTCCGAAAACAAACTGTGCAAGAGATAAATCACCACTTCAGTCCAGATATGATGAAACTATGGATGACAGAAAGATAGCTGTTCGTCAGAAATTCATTGAAGCCAAACGCTTGTCTACAGATGAAAAACTTCGCCAGTCTAAGCAATTCCAAGATGCATTAGAATATTTAAATTCCAATAAAGATTTATTCCTGAAATCTATGCAAGAATCAAATCCAGTGTTTTCTCCGCTTTGTAACCATCTGCAGCAGTCCATTCCTCCTGAGACAAAGCGAATTACAATCCTTAGACCTTCTAAGAAGGTGAATGATAATCATTTTTCTGGAGAAGGGAATATAAATGAAAAAAAGATGAAGGGTGCCTGTGTGGGGAAGTTGAATGGGTTAGAGAAATGCCATCCGGGACCTTCCCCTCCAGCAAATTGGAACATTGATGAACATCGTACACAACCAACCCGAATAATAGTTCTGAAACCAAGCCCTGTGAAATCGCACAATGTAAAGGCCATGGGGCCTTCACTTTCCGAATCACCAAGGATGTTAAGTGAAGACTTTTTTGGGGACGTAGAAGATGACAAGAATCAAGAATCAAGAGAAATTGCAAAGGCAATAACCGAGCAGATGCGCGAAAAACTAGGGAAGCATCGTAGGGATGAAAGCTTGCTTTCTTCTGTGTTTTCCAATGGCTATGTTGGAGATGAAAGTTCTTTTAATAAATCAGAAATTGAATATGCAGCCGGAGATAACAGTGATTCAGAAGTCATGTCTAGGCACTCATGGGATTGCGATAATAGGTATTCTAGCCCTTATTACTCCTTTTCATTTAGCCGTGCATCTTATTCTCCACATTCATCAGTTTGCAAAGAAGCAAAGAAACGTTTATCTGAGAGATGGGCCCTGATGGCATCTAATGGGAGTTGTCTTGGACAAAAAAATGCGCAGAGAAGCTCAAGCACATTGGGTGAGATGCTTGCTCTTTCTGAGACAAAGAAGGCAGGAAGGCCTGAGGAAGAAGGTAGTTCCAATGTAGAATGTAGGGATTCAGATACTCACTTCATTGGTGATCAGAGGAAGGACGAGAATGGGAATAATTCACCTCGGAATCTCTTGAGATCGAAATCTGTTCCTGTATCTTCTACTGAGTTTGCCGCCAGGCTCAATGTGGTCACTCCGGATCCAGATAGTGGTGATAAACCAGAGTTTTGTGAGGAGGCCGCTAAGACAAGAAGTATTAAAACGTCGTTCAAAGGCACGGTTGCAAGTTTGTTTTTCTCCAAGAACAAAAAAGATAGTAAAGATAAATCTAGCTCATCTGAAACCCATGTGGAATGTTGCTCTTCTGGAATGCTTTCTGGACAAATTGCCAACAGTAAAAATAAAAGTCTTAGCTATAAAATGTCCGACCGTTTGTCAACTCGTCTGCAGGAGCCATCGAGTATTGCATCTTCCCCAAATCAAGTTGGCAATCAGGGCATAATATCACCAGAGGTAATTTCATTATCGGTGGATGCTTTTCTCCACTCTTATCTGTTAATTAATGCATGTCTAGCTTCGGTAGTTACTCTGGTGAAATTAGTGACAAAGGTGGCATTTTCTGATCATTGACTAATTCTGTTTGAATCAATTGATCTAAGAAAGCCCGTTGTGGCTTAATTATATATTATCTGGCAATGGTGTGAACAGAATACTAAAAAATTATGATGGTTATAAAAAGTTTCAATGAATTCATCAGCTGGAAGATAGAAATAAGAGATGTACAGAATTTTAATGAAGAGAAGTAGTTTACCAAATAATTCTCAGTATGACTTTTATAATGCATATTCGGCTTTGATTAAGGTTGGTCCTAACTTTTCCAATAACTGCATACGTTCTTGTGCTAGTCCTTTAGCGGAAATGCTCTCTTTTGTATCTCGTAGTGTTACTGTGTTAGTAATCAGCACTAATACCTAATGCTCTCATTTTTACCTTGAAATGTTAATAATTTAACATTAATCCGAAAAACTAGTGACCATATTTAACATTTCTCTACTTTTGTAGGCTGGATTGTCCGTAGAAAGACCTGCTGCACCTGGAAATCTTAGTGAGAACCAAGACCAACCAAGTCCAGTATCAGTTTTAGATCCATTCTTTGAAGAGGAAGAACATACAAAACCTGATTCTACTGGTCATATCAAGCCAGACCAACACGGTAAAATTTCTCTGTTTCAAATATTGCTGGGTGTGTTCTGTTCTATTATAATGTCTAATTGATTTCCTTGTATGCCCCATCCCTTTTATCCAAATAAACAGGTCTTGAGTTTCCAGTTCATTATATTAAATCAAACTTGATTGACAAATCGCCACCCATAGGATCTGTTGCTCGTACACTATCATGGGATGATATGTGTGTGGATACAGCCTCTTCATATTATTCAAAACCATCCTTTCCTACACAAACAGCAGAGGAAGAAGGAAGAGAATGGTTTTTCTTAGTTCAGACATTATTAACAGCAGCTGGTCTCATTGGAGAGGTACAATCAGACTCATTTTTGGCTAGATGGCACTCGTCCGAAAGCCCACTTGACCCATCATTAAGGGACAACTATATTGATTTTCAAGACAAGGAAGCACTACATGAAGCCAAGCGAACGCAAAAGAGATCTACGCAAAAACTCGTCTTTGATTGTGTCAATGCAGCTTTATTGGACATTGCAGGATATGGGTTGGACACATGCCGAAGAACCAATGCATCATTAAAAATGGTGGATCAGGTTTGGGCCCGCGTTAGTACGCGGATTTCTGGTGATTTTACAGGCGACTGTGGGGACGAAGACGGTCTGTTGGTGGTGAGAGTGGTGAGAAATGAGGTGACGGGAAAGGGGTGGGTTGATTGTTTGAGATTGGAGATGGATATTTTAGAGAAGGAAATTGAAGGGAAGTTGCTGGAAGATCTTGTGCTGGAGGCTGTGGAGGAATTGACAAATAGGATGTAGGTATTTATCATTTTTTACCCCTCTTTCTCTGTTGTAACTTTTATATTCCTTTTTTTTAATCATTAACATACATCTCTATTGTTTGTGTATTATTATATTTTCATGATAATGGTCATGGACAATCTCTGATTCAGTGCTGCAAATCTGCATCCAATTTATTCGTGTATTTCTTATGTACCTTTTTTCTTTTTTCAATTTCATTTCTCAAACGTATTTTGGCTCGTTTGGTGAATTATAGTTGTAATTTAGAGTCTTAGACCGTATTAAAGAAGAGAAAGTAGGGGGTCCTCGGCTTGCCTTTGATACGAGGGCATATCCTGCCCATGTAACGGGTTGGCCCTTTTTCTATGTCCGGGCCCTATCCTTATAGTTATTGGGCCGAGGGTTTTGAGGAAACTTGGCATTAAATTACTCTGTTGCCGTCCTTTTATAACAGAGTAATATTATTTATTATCATGATGATGAAATATTGGTGATGTAGTAATTTATTAAAATACTATGTGGTGTATAGATTGAATGTTGATAAAAAATTTAAGTTGACAATTAAGCCATGTTAATTGTTTTGGGTGGGTCATTTCTCTCTGTATATCGTTGGTTGTAAAATACGTGACACAATAACAAACCTTTTCGTGTGGATTAGCAATCACTAACTCTGCTTCATGAATGGTAAAAGGGTCGTGAGTAATCACTTTTTAGATTATGGCCTGTTATATTTAATTGTTAACATCAAAATTTTAACGATATATTTTATGAGATTCATAACTTTTCAATTATTAAAATTTATTAATTTTAATTTATGCCAAACAAGGGTTTCAGTTTAGGCGGCAAAGTCCTTTATCCTTAAATCAAAAATAGCCACAAACAATTGGGACATAACATAACGAGCTCACTTTTCCAAACAATCTTCATCTCACATCGGGATTGTTGTTCAAAAATCAATAAAAAGTGTGTCGAAAAGTGGACTTGAGGGCTAAAACAGTCGCATAGGTCTTGGAGGTATGAGATTGCATGTTGGCTTGCAGAGCGTACAAGCTCTGCCATTAAACAACCTATGTGACCGCATATGTTTGTTTTATGCAACAACATGGAGTTAAAGTTAAAAACAACCGTTAGATGGTTTTTCAAATTGAAAATTGATGTCTTTTTGAATGGAAAATTGCTACTCTTCATCATGTTTTGGCACCATTTCGTTTAGTATTGGTTGAAATCTATAAATGGATGATTAATGATTAATACAAAACAAATTAAAACCACTTAAGAGCAAATTCTATTCCACAAGAAAGATAACTCTTTTCTTTCATATT